ACAAGATTAAAGAAGATATCATATAAAACAACTAGTCGATTAGTCGATCGATTAGTTGTCTAATAAAATTATTAATTGATTAGATTAACTAATCGATTAATGGAATATGAATTAAAGACAATAGGTAAATGCAGTACATACATATATATGTATATTTATGCATATATCGCATACTCGTACTGTCAAGTTTCTTTTTTGCCCTGGCCCCGGTCTAATTTTCTTTGTTGCCCTGGCCCTGGATCCTTTCGTTGACTCAGCCCTGGGTCTAATTGAGTATTCAAAAAAAAAATCACATATAATTAAGTAATTGATATAAGCCTATTTCTTTTTTTGTCTTTGTCACCCTGGTTCTGGATCCAATTTTTTTACCCTGGCCCTAGATCTAATCAAATATGGAGCAAAATTCTCATAATTATTTTTTTTTAAAAAACAAAAAAGAAAATTAATTATATAGGAAATAAGCATTTATTTCCTTTTCTTTTCTCTGTCATCCTGGCTCTGGGTCCAATTTTTCTTGTTGTCCTGACCTGCATCAAATTAAGTACAGATCAGCATTTTTTAAAAAAGATCAAAAATATATATGAAATAAGCAATTGTTGTATACCTATTTCTTTTTCTTTGTCATTCTGGCCCTAGGTCCAATTTTCTTTGTTATATCGATTCTGGATTACATTAAATATGAATCAGTAAATTCCAAAAATATTGTATACAAAAAAAAATATGTGTACCTATTATTTCTTTTGAAACGTAGTACCTTAAAATGTTTCCATGCTTATGCTAAGCAATAACTGTTAAAAGAATAACAAGAATAGCTTTTAGATATAAACTTCTTTATGCATTTAATGATAATGCAATAACTCCATCTTGGATTATAATCATTTGAATTATAAATTAAAGAGAAAAGCACTTATTGGCTTATTAACCTTTATTTTACATTAAACGAAATGTCTTCCAAAAAATCTAAAGAAACTAAAACTACACTTACCAATGAACAAAGAAAAGATATAATTAAGCACAAAGAAAAAAATCCTCAAATTAGTCAAGCTGACCTCGACAGTTGGGTAAAGCAAACAATGGGTCTAACAGTTCATCAAACTACTATTAGCCATTTAATAAAGAATAAAGAAGAAATTAGAAAAAATCCTATAGCGAAAAGACAGAGAACAGTTCAACACCCAGTACTTGAAAATACATTGATTGAATAGATCCTACAAAGCCAAGAAAGAATAATCCTATCTAATGAAATTATAGTCAAAAAAGCAAAAAGTTTTGCTAAATCGTTAAACATACCTGAAGATAATCACAAGTTCTCACATAGTTGGCTATATAAGTTTAAACAAAGACACAGATTAAAAAGAATAACAAAACACGGAGAAGATGCTTCTGTAGATGAAAAAGTTATCAGAACTGCTATTCCTGACCTAAGAGAAACTCTAAAAGATTACAACTTGAAGGATATATATAACATGGATGAGACTGGATTGTTTTATCAGTATAAATAAATAATGCTACATGAGTACCACAGGTTACTAAACGATTTACTTGTGCAGCACAAGTAAATCATTTGGTAACCTATAGTATTCCCCTATATACTAATTAATAGATAAATTTTTTTTTTCTAGTCTAGAGCCAGATACTATGCTAGCAACTGTTCGTCTTAAAGGAAAAAAATTAATAAAGAATGGCTAATATTGGCACTTTGTGCCAATACTAACAGAACAGATAAAATGATGCCATTTGTTATTGGTAAGTCGCCCAATCCACGTTGCTTCAAATCTATTAATCACCGCAACCTTCATATTATGTACAATACAAGTCAAAAAGCATGAATGACAGTTCTATTATTTCAAAAATGGCTTAAGAAATTTGATTTAAAAATGGCTAGTTGCAAAGTAATTTTTCTAATGAATAATGCAAAAGTTCACTCTGTTGGTAATTTAAAACTTCGTAATACAACCATTAAATTCTTTCCCCATATACAACATCTCGCCTACAACCTATAGATGCTGGTGTCATTATGTTCTTCAAATGCCACTACTGAAGTTACTTTATAAAGTGGCTTCTTGATCAGTACGAGTCTAAAAAAGATAATAAATTGGATATTCTTACCACTATAAAATTCATTGTTCGAGGATGGAGAGAAGTGTCATCGAAAACCAGAAAAAATTGCTTTCAACACACAGGAATTCTTCCATTAGTTCAAGATAATGACGAAGAACCTACCACTAATGATAATGATGATGATATAATGGAAGAATTGTATAATAACATTGAATTGCTTAATTTTTAAAATATAATGGATCTTGAAGAATATATAAATTATTCAGAAGAAAAAATTGTAACAGGAATAATGAGCAACCAGGAAATTTTAAACCAAGCCATGTATCAGGAACCTCAATAGGTTGAAAGTGATGAGGAAGATGACAGTGTAGACATGCCCCAAATTACTTATAAGGAAGCATTAGATGCTATTTACCAGATAAAGCTATATCTTATACAACAAGACCTTAATTATGTGGTTCAAACAGAACATGACGTAGCTTTGTCAAAATTGTATGAGTTAGTAAAAAAGCTCCAGAATGCTTCGTTTAAACAATTAAATATAGAAACTTTCTTTGAACCAGTTGGTAATGTACATATGTCATTGTACATAACAATAAAGCTAATAAAATTAAGCTTTGTCTAATGATATTTTCTTATTCCTAAATAAATAATTAGGATGGCCAACAAAACGATAATTACTGAATTGAATCCTGTGGTTGAGTAAAAAAAAAAAAAAACTTATCTTTTGATATAACAATATAAAATTGTTCAAATTTATATTCAAGTTAAAACATAGTTAAAATGTAGTTGGTG